TATATATATATATATATATATATATATATATATATATATATATATGTGTATATATATATATGTGTTTGTGTGTGTAATCGTTTAGATAATACATATTTCAAAGCCTCAAGTATATTTAATTGAATTTGTTTAAATGTACCTTTGGGAAACTATTTAAAAAGTAAGAAACAACAAAGAATATATTTTCTTATATGAATAGTTAAAGTGTTTTTACCTAAAAGTTTAAGCCACATTTGTGATCAGATGCCAACTACCATATGTGTTCGTTTACCTACAGAAATAGTCAAAGGGACTTAAAAAAGTCAAATATTATACATATGTCTGGAAAACTACAGGAGTATCTTTCAAATTGCACCACATAAATCAGGATACATTTTTCGACCCAAAAAGGAAGAAGCTGGTAAAAGATAATGGATGGATTTCATACTTACATTCAAAATGCTGCCAAGCAAAATGTGCCTCAACGGTTCCTAAATGAACATAAAATAAACTAAAACTTTTATATATTGTTTTGGCGGTGATGTAATTTTCCATGGGACCAAATAAAATCTAGTTTTTCTAAATCAAATCGGCAGAATGTTGACTTATTGTCCTTCAGAGTGTTGTTTCCATCGACGCAGCTCGTGGTCGGACCAGCTGCAGTTCGGGTTGTGGCCGCTAGGCGGCGACGGAGAGCCCGGTCCGTGTAAAAACAACATCTCACCTTCTTTCTTTAGTCCAAGTCCTGGAGCACGTTTGAGTGACCATGGAGTGCGTTCGCAGTCATGTAGTTCAGCGCTAATCCTCCGTGAATAGTTGAAGAGAGGGGGTCTTTCGTGCGGACACGAGGAGCCGGACTCGGGCCATGGCTTCGCGGGAGGAAGGCGAGCTCTTGCACGGGAAAACGAGGCACCAGGACGGGTCTGGAAGTGTAAACAGCTCGGAGGGCTTGAGGAACGGCTACGTGAAGAGCTGCGTCACCCCCCTTCACCAGGACCACCACAGGGGCTTTTTGTTCACCGTGTGCAGGATTTGCAACGAGGACATTTTCAATTCCAAACTGTTGAAGGTCTCGGCTCTCCACGTCGGCGCGCTCGTCGTGTTCGCGGTTTCGTTCCTCGTTTCCAGGAGCCTGCAAAGTGACTCGCCGGGGGATTTGCGGACTTTAGTGTCCGGCTTCTCGCAGTCCGTCAGCCCCCTGTTCAGCATCGGATGCGCCTTCTTCTTCCTGACCTTTTACCTGAGGAGGAAGAAGCAGCAGAGCAGCAAGCCGTGGCTCCTGTCGCTGCCTGCCTCCTGCTTCCTCGGGGACTTTCTGGTCGTGCGCTTCTTGCAGTGGGGAGAGGACCCGCACCACATGCACATGGTGGGCAGGCTGTTCTTCGTGCTGGGCTGCGTGGGGCTGCTCACGCTCATCCCCACGCTGAAGCTCAAACACAGCGTGCTCGTGCTGGTGTTCGCCAGCGCCGTGTGGCTGCTGTCCCTCACCAGCCTGAGCGCCCTGCCCGCAACGCTGCGGCCGCTGTGCGCGTGCTTTGCGGGGCTCTCGGGCTCCCTGTGCGGGATCGGCTTCGACCGCTGCTACCAGCCGAGGGAGGCGCCGAGCGGGCCGGCCAGCGCCGAGGAGAAGGTGCCGGTGATCCGACCCAGGAGACGCTCCAGCTGCGTTTCTCTGGGGGAAACGTCCACCAGCTATTATGGAAGCTGTAAAATGCCTCGGAGACCCTCGCTGCCTTGCATTTCCAGAGAGCAGGTAGGTCATGACCCCACACCCCCACTCCACCTGCAGGGGCAGCTGGAAATGTCTCAAAGTATCCAGAATCAAGTTGGTGCTCAGACTCAGCAGCCAGGTATGAGAACAACCTGATGCCAGGGAATGTCAAAGTTCTCCCAAGTTTTAAAGCGAATGTAAAAAAAGTGACCCTGAACCAGTTTGAGAGTTATTTTCCCACTTATATTTGTACGCTGTACTGAAATGCGGGTATGCGCTCGATGTAAACAAAGCAAAGCAAACTGGAGACACGTGCAGCAGGCTGGACGTCGTCCGTGCACGTCAACAAATACGCTTGGAACAGGGTTTAGGTGGAAGAATGAGAAAAATGAAAACGCGCTGGAACTGGGCACTGGAACTGCATCAGCGCCCCGGCGTCGAGCTCAAGTGGCTGTAAAGTAGAAGTTTTTCTTTTGTCCCCCTCCCCAGAATAACCAGTTCACTATAAAAATGTTCTGCTTCAGGAGCGGCCACGCTCCAAAACAGAGGAACGTCCGGAAACGTGCGCAGAGTCTGCAGCACACGCATTGCGTGGACATCACTACACAACAGCTTAAACGAAGACAGACCGAAATCGACGAGACCTCGTCTAATCTAAAGTATAATGCACCAAAATATTTGATATTGCAATATTAGTGCGTACAATATCAAAACCGCAGAAAGTTTTTCAAAGTTCTAGATTTGGCCGTGAAATGAAGCCCTGCTCGTCTAAATGCCGGCAGGCGGAGGGTGTTGGAGAACGTGCACGTTTATCACAATCAATAATGCAGTATTCAACACTAATATTGCAATCACGTGGTTTCCCTGCAAGTGCAGCTCCACTACATAGATGAAATAACGACGTCGCAATAATCCAGATGTTCCTGTCAGTAATTCTAACCACTGGTTAACTGGCTTCCCCTTCGTATGTGTCCCAGGGTTTAAACAGAATAATAGTGAAGCGTCAGGGCCCGTCCTCAGCCGGTTAGCTGAAGAGCAACTCACGTGGCCTCTGGTTAACTAGCGGTCGACAGCAGTGATGGCGAGCACCATCAGCAGTGCACGTGCACATGTTCTCCGCTTGATAGGAACCTGCACAAACTGTGAAAATGAGTATTTACATCCAGAAGTTGCTGTGGATTTAGAAAACTCTGGTCTTTTTCACTTTCATGTTACTTTTGCAAAGGTGTCGTGAAAGAAAGACTTGTCATGCTGCGTGCAGCGTGTTCAGGACAAACCGCTCCGTGTGCACATGCTGTTGGCGTGACGTGTGTGTTGGCATCAGCTGTTTTTTACAGACGAGCTGTAGTGATGTCCGGCCGTCACGTCCTGCCAGCTTGGTCAAACCACGAGAACCAACACTGACTTAGATCGTCTTCCTTACGCTGCATTATTTATTTACTGAATTTCATTTGACCCGGTTGTGTGTTGCGCTGTTGGCAGGTCAGCACTCACACGGCATTAGTCCTTAGAATAAAAAGGTGCACGTTTAAAGACGTGCACTGGAGTTTGACCGCTACACCGCTCAAACTGTGGCTCAAGAGATCCAGACGTTTTACATCCCAGAGTAGTTTTTGTGTTGAACACAAAAAAAGTTAATTCTTCTTAAAAGTTTTTAAAGAAACTTTTGTTTTGCAGGCCGCAGCTTAACCCTTCACGCGCGTGTTTAATTCAACGGGTCGTGTAATGGTTTATGAACTGGTAATAAACGTGATCGAACTTCTGAGCACACTGGTGATAACGCGCTTGGACTCGATCCTGTCAGTGAGTAAGGGTGGTTTGGAGCGGAGCGCGTCGTGGCTGCGCTCGCAGCTCGTTGTGTCACTTTGTGGCGCCTTCATGTCAAAGTGGACGGCGTCACAGGAAAGAGTTGCAAAGAAACTATTTGAAAGGAGTCACTCAGGGTTCACTGCTGATGTTCAACTTGTTCTTCATCTTCGCACACGTTTCGCACACAGAACATCCCCCCACTCCCACCACTGTGACAGGGTCACTGGTTTTTGTCTTTCACTCGCAAAGACCGAGGAATTGTTTTTCTGCGAGCAGCTACACGTGCGTCAGCGTGAAAGATCGGACGCTCTAGTTTAGCTTCTTTTTTTTTCACAAATAAAGTTCATATAAAACAAAGACGATATTAAAGGAAAATGTGCGTTGGAAACTAAAACACAGTGTTTGAAACCAGTGTAGCGTATTTAATGTTATTCCTGGATTTATGATCGCTCTCTTCTTCTGCCTTCCGCCGTACACGTCGCATCTGTCCAGATGTGTCTGATGAGGTGGAACATGCATAAACACGTCGTGGGCCGGTGTTGTGCCAACAATCATTTGGCTGCCAAACGGCGGGAACGTGCACGGGAGGACTTTAACAAGAATTTAAGAAACATTTGTTGAATAAAGTTTGTAGGTAGAAGTGCTTTGTTTACATTCAGTGCGTACCTGCATTTTAAAATGGCGTATCAATATATCGGTGTATGGGAAACCCCTGGAGTAAAGTTGTTCAGACTGCACCAGTTGATGTACTGGTGCAGTCTGAACAACTTGTTTGTGGTTTGGAGCGAGTCGTCTGTCCGTACGTCTGGTAGCAGGACTCTTGTCTTGCTTCGTTTGGGTAACGACAGTCCACTACAGTCAAGTCAACTTTATTAATAGAGCACATCTAAAACAGAACCTGTTATCAAAGTGCTTAACAACAACAACAAAGGGTGAAAACAATAAAAATAATTTACTGGTAAATATTTGCAGATTTTAGACAAATGTATTTTCCCCTTTTGGATGAATACTGCGCCGCCTTGCAGTCTACTTTATGTTTGATTTCAAAGTTTGCAATGGGTACTTTAAAATACAAACTGGTTAAAAAATATGCAACAGGAAAGCGCAATTAAGTGTTTTAATGATTATTTTGTTTGTGTGCGTAATTTAGAGTGCATGTGCAGCTGCTTGTCTCCCTCCTGAAGTGTTTTATACTCTGCAGGGGTTTGTCTTCAAATGACAGGAGTTAGTTTTGTACTTTTCTAGTACATAATACTGACGTAGTTTCTGGAGGCTAACTTGCTCGAACCCTCGTTGGGTTCACTCCTCGTCAGGCCACGGTCACTCAAATCAGACGGGAACATCATTTTGTCATAAAACGTCCAAACGTAGTTCTTCTGTTTAATATAACAGCTGCTGATGGAACAGTGTGGGTTCTGTCCTGGCTGTGGGACACTGGACCAGCTCTTTACCCTCACTAGAGTCCTTGAGGTGTCTTGGGAGTTTGCCCATCCAGTCTACATGTTTTGTGGATTTGGAGAAGACATTCGACCGTGTTCCTCGAGGTTCACTGTTGGGGGGCGGGTCCAGTTCAGTTGTCTTGGAGAGACTCGGAATTGAACCGCTGCTCCTCCACATGGAGAGGAGCCAGTTGAGGTGGTTCATCTGGTAAGGATGCTCCCTGGGCGCCTCCCTAGGGAGGTGCTCCGGGCATGTCTGACTGGGAGGAGACCCCGGGGAAGACCCAGGACACAATGGAGAGACTCCGTCTCTCAGTTGGTCTGGGAACACCTTGGAGTCCTCCTAGAAGAGCTGGAAGAGGCTGTGGAGAGAGAGGTCTGGACCTCCCTGTTCAGCTGCTGCCCCGAGACCTGAGTCCAGAGCACGAGGAAGATGATGGATGGATGGATGGATGGATGGACGGATGGATGAACGGATGGATGAACGGATGGAAGCGATTAAAAAAGGCTGCAGTAAACAGAAAGCAGAAGCTGCAGCTCAGATGCGGTTCGTTTGGGTCAGATGCTGTGATTAGATGATTGGTTTTAGGGAAAAGATCACTGAGGATAAAAGTTTGGACAATGTTTTTGTTTATATTTTTAAATATTTGTCAGATTTCTAGAAAATTAGATAATTTGTCACAACTTTGAAGAACCGCTACTGCATGTCCTCATCCATTTATGGGCCTGGAGTTATAACTCAGAACCTTTTTAAAAGTGAAATGCCTAATCTAGTGTTACATCATCTGAGGAGGATTTTCAGATATTAGCACATATTAACTACATATGTTGTCCGTACGCTTTTCATGCACAAGTTTGATCTAAGGTCATCGTATGTTTAAAAATAACTAAGTTATAGACATTTCAGTCAAATCTTGGAAACAAACTTTTGTATATTCTCCCATGATCGCACGGTATCGAAGGATCTGCTCAGACTGACTGTGTTGGGACGAACTCTCAGCACACTCTGTAAAACTGACTGAATCAGTTGTTTTTGTGTTTCCGGTTGCTTACCTCTGGTGGCCATCTTGAATTAGGTTGATTTGAAAATGTGCGTCCATGATAACTTTCTGAAAGTCTCATGTCCGTCTGCTCAGTGCCTGTAGAGATATTGTCATTTCCAGACTTGAGTACACCTGAAGATAAGCCACACCCCCTAAATACATTTAAAAAAAGTTTTTGCGTATATAGGTCGCACTTGTCTATAAGCCGCAGGTGTCTATGTTGGAACATGAGATATTTACACAAACATTTTTTAAAACGTTTAATTAAATACTGTAGCGTGGCAGCACACGGCGACTGACAGATGTGCATCTTGTTGTAGATCAAGAACCAACCACCAGATGGCGTCTTATAAACTTTATCTTACTGTTCAACACTCGGAGTGAAGCCCACAGGTCGTCATGGCAACAACCTCCCTCCCTCATGGTTACTGAATGGCCTAACACATGATGAACACATGAACTAACAAGAACAGACTAATCACTAAAAGAACAAGGCTAAACAGCTAACTGCAATAATTAACAATTAACATAAATTGGGGGCCGAGATGGTGTAGAGGCAGGGCAGCCGGCTTGGGACCCAAAAGTCCCAGGTTCGATCCCCAGTCACTGCACATCACGTGGTGTCTCTGGGCAGCACACCTCATCCCCAAAAGCCTCCCAGGCGCTTTCAATAGCTGCCCACTGCACCACCTGGTGGTGGATGGGTTAAATGCAGAGACTAATTTCGCCATTGTATGGAAACACACAGTGC